TCATCCATTCCTCAGATGATGAGCATTTTGGTTGCTTTCAAGATTTGGCTATCACAAATTGTACTGCTATAAACACAGTTAAAAGGAAGATGATAATTTAAGGATTAAACAACAAAAAGAGAGAAAGTAGAAAAATTAGGAAATATGGCAGGGGTAAAACCATACATTTAGGGGCCAGGGAGATGGCTTAGTGGAATAAGTGCTTCCCTGGCAAGTGCAAGGCTGTGAGTTCAATCCCTGGTTCCGAAAAAAAAAAAAAAAAAAAAAAAAAAAACATACATTTATATAAACAAGATGGTTAAGGCAAGGGTCCTAAGGATCTCCATCAGGTTTTTGAAAATAGCAGCTAATGGGTAGAATTCTCACCCTAACCAACTCTATATTCTGATATCTGTGATCTAAGCAACTACACTGAGGATAGCAATGTATAACACTAAAACCATGCTTGAAACACCTATCATTTTGGTCTTCTAAATGTGTACTGCTTCTAATGTAGTATCAGTTACTGCTATACTCTCTTTAAAGTAAATGTTTGTTTAAAAAAAGTAATAAAAGAAAACAAGAAAAAAATAAAAATAAAGTGCCCATTCAAACACAAAATTAGAAGTGATAAAACAAAGATGGAAAAGGTTCAGAAAAAGATACATTGTGATGTGAAGGGGAAAATGTAAACACTGTAAAATCTGCTCATCAAAGGTAAGAGAACAAGTAGATTAAAAAGGAAGGAAAAATAGGGCCAACCAGATAGCTGAGCAGACTAAAGCATCTGTTTAGGCAGATCTCAGCAGCTGGGTTCAATCCCCGGCATGCCATGCTGGCCCCGTCCCCGGGGCACATTGAGACAGTGACTGAGACTAGATGTGGTGGCACACAACTGTAATCCCAGCACTTGGGAAGCTGAAAACAGGAGGATCACTATGAGTCCAACCTACATAGTGAAACCCTGTAGATTCTGTACTAAATACATAAAAAAAAGAAAAGAGTCAGGTATGGTGAAGCATGCCTGAAATTCCAGCACTCAAGGGGCAGAGGTAGGAGGTTCACCATGAGTTCAAGGCCAGCTTGAATTTCATAGTAAAACCCTGTCCCCAAAAAGCACAAAAGTAAGTAAGTACATTGAGTTAAAGAGGACAGGAGAGGGGGTGGGGAAAAAAAAAATATATATATAGCTATAGCTATATATGCAGGATGGTTTGGACAACTGTACTGTGCATGTATGCTGATCTATTTAAAAAAGCAGTTAATGCTTAATTTGTTTTATCTCCCTTTTTCAATTGTTTGTCTTTTTTTTCTTGTTAATTTATTATATATTTCTTTCATTTTTTCTTTCTTCCAATTTTGCATTCATATATCTGGTAATATGAATAACTAGTTGGAAGACAGCACTATGCATTACAACAAATCCTGTGAAATTCATATTATTTTGTTAAGTGATATTTTATATCACTTGTAATTTTTTTTTCGGAACCGGGGATTGAACTCAGGCCCTTGCACTTGCCAGGGAAGCGCTTATTCCACTGAGCCATCTCCCCGGCCCTTCACTTGTAATTTTTGTGTTTTAATACTATTTTGTACTCTTGGGGCTGAGGAGATAGCTCAGTAAAATAAGTGCTTGCCTGGCAAGCACAGGGTCCTGCATTCAATCCCCAGTCCTGCAAAAAACAAACAAACAAAAATACTATTTTTGTACTCTCTTTAAAAAAATATATGAATAAACTTATTGTAATACAGTATTCAACATTATCACCAAAACCTTAGTTTTGATATTGATTTAGTCACTGAGACAACTATCTGGATTCATCACCCCACTCCACCCCAACCTGCCAGCAATTTTAACCCTAGATCCTATGATAATGTAAATCAATTTTAAAAAATTATAAATGTATACTTGTAACATAAAATCACATAATTAAGGGCCAGCCAGATAAGTGGACTAAAACATTTGATTAGGCAGAGCACAGGGGCCAGAGTTTGATCCCCAGTGTGCTGTGCCAGCCTCACCCCCAGAGTGTGCTAAGACAGCAATTGAGACTGGGCATGATGGCGCGTGCCTGAGATCCCAAAGCTTTGGAGGCTGAAAACAGGAGGATCATTACCAGTCCAATCTACATAGTGAGATCCTGTAAATTCTGTAAACCCTGTACTAAAATACAGCTTTTAAAAAAAATCACAGAATCTTTGTAGACCTTAACCATGAACTGACCCAGTATAATTGAAGCAAGTAATATTACCAACCCCTGATTCCAAAAGACAAGTTTAGAAAGGAATATGGCAATGAAATACAATGCCTTTAACACCAACTGTGTCTTCTGCATACAGCCAAATTGTGAAGTGCTCACATACAAAGGGTGCTAGACGGGAGAAGGGAATGTTATTTACTTGATATTTTATGGATATTTCATTAAACATGAATTTAATAATGAAAAGATAAATAAATGAATAAATAAAGAAACAAGTGAACATTTAACCTACAGGGAATATATATGCTACATATATAACACTTACAAGACACAACCACATATACAAAGCAAACAAATTAGCACATTGTGTAGATTTTATAGTTATATAATCTATATCATGGTCACTAGGAAAGGGTTTTAATCAAAAGTAGAAAAGGGCAGTACTGTGTATTTCATGAGACAGGGGTGGACAGAAGGAGAGAGTGTAAACACAGACATCTCTACTGAGAAGGTCTGGATTTGTAAAGTGCCTCTTGTGTGGTTTTATTCTTTAAAACAATTTTTAAAATTTTGAGACAGTATGTTGCTAGAGTGTGCAGGATGGCTTCAAATTTATTATCCCTTTGCCTCAGCCTCTTAGTGGCTAGGATTACAAATATGAGAACCATGTGTCTTGATTAATTTACATCAGCACTTAACGATGTAGCTTGTACATCTCGAAAGTGCAAATGTTAATACTGCACATGGGGCTAGTATAGCGCAATAGTAGAGTATTTGCCTGACAGACATAAAAGCCTCAGGGTTTCATGTCCAACTTTGCCAAAAACAAAAAAGTAACTTTGAAATAATGTACACCTGAGTGAAGGTTTAAAGACTGAGTGAAATAACTGATATGGAGTTACTCTTTAAAATGTAAAGGGGCCAGGCATAATGGAACACCCCTGTAATCCCAGCACTCTCGAGACTGAGGCAGAAGCATTGCTGTGAATTTGAGGCCAGATTGGACTACAAAGTGAGTTCAAACCCAGCCTGAACTTCCCAGCCAATGCTGCCTCAGAATGGCAAAACAAACAAACAAAATCTTGGTGAAATATAAGGGAACATGACAATGCAAGTCTGGGGTTCAAAACTAAGAGCAAGATGAATATCCTACTCACGTACATCAGAAGCCCACTGCTGCCCCAAGAAGGACACACTGAGTTAGGTTTTGCTCAGGTATCTCTTGTGTTTCCTCCTACAGGCCAATGGAAGGTGACAGGGCCAAACAAGAATGTGCAGGCCTTGCTGGGTGAAGACACAGTATTCTCCTGCTTCCTTTCTCCTGAGACAAATGCGGAGGAGATGGAAGTGAGGTTCTTTAAGGATCGCTTCTCTACCGTGGTCCACCTCTACAGGAATAGAAAAGACCAGAAACATATGCAGGAGCCAGCCTACCGAGGGAGGACTGTGCTGGTGAAGGACCTCATGGCAGATGGGCATGTCTCCCTGGAACTAAGAAACATCACCCTTTCAGATGCTGGCCTGTATGGGTGCTGGTTTAGCTCCCAGACTAATGAAAAGGAAGCTATCTGGGAGCTGCAGGTATCAGGTCAGTTGTTTATTTCAGAGAAATTATAATTTCACTGCATCATCTTGGATATTTTGATGATTTGTTAAATGTAGATATTTTAAATGTTATGTCACATAGTTAGAAAACAGCATCCTACATGTTCTGTTCTGCTGGTGTAGATGTTATGTGTTATTTTATTTTATTTTTTACACTTTCAACACTGATTAATAGGACAGTTTCAATAATCAATACATTGTACATTGTTATCTTCTTAGTGGTCTTCCATAGTACAAATTGCAGATATGATATCCTGTCCAAACACTATTAGTACAAATCTTTCTTCTCATTGAATTAAGCAAAAGTAGCTGTATATCTATCCTAACTATTCCGCATATGCAAGTACAAAATGGTCCTTCCTTCGTAACCCCTTTTGTTGGTTAGTCCTGTCAGAGAGGGGTATTCTATTGCCATCTAAATACTGTAGATGCATGAATTCAGCAAAACAATCCAACACAGTCCAGCAGTCCACAATAGTAGTGGGTTATCTTTAGGACTGGCAGTGTCATAAGTTGTTGACTTGAACCTTTCACAACTCAGCATATTAACATGGTTTTACTTTATATACCTCATTTTTATACTTTTCTGCTGGATGGTTGAGACCAAGATAAAGCAAGACCTGTATAAAAAGAAATGTAACTTTTGTATCTGATAAGGTCAGTCAAGTCCCCTCAGAATTTATCCTGTAACCCTGTACTGCAGTTTGCACATCCTTTATCAGTGTCAGCCATGTGGTTGAGTCACGGCCATTGCTTGACCAATTTGCTCTCTGTGAAAGCCTGAAAGAATGTTTTCTCTCTAGGCAACTCCCCATAGGCACTCTAAGTCATCAATCATGATGCTCTGTGGACCCATAATCTACTTGATCAGAAAATTTGGGACACAACTGAGTTACATGATGTGACAGTACAGGTTCTCCTAAGTCCTGAGTCTTCTCTGACTTTGAAAGGCTAGGGCCAAAATGTTTACTGTCCTTGCAGGCCTTGTTTTTCCCCAATCTTTGGACTGCAAACTGACAATGTTAACCCTCCAGAAGAGAAGCTTATTATTACTCTACAACATATGCAGTTCAATTTAACCTCACTATCATTCTGAATATAAAACATTTTAGGCATAACATGCGACAAGTATTTTCAATCAAGTATTGAAATGTTGAACTTTAAATGGAGAAAAAATTTAAAAACTGAAAAATATTTCAAAAATATGAATAAACAATTGCATACTTTTACACAGAAATTTAGAAATCTAACCATATGCAGCATTGTAGCAGGACAGTCCTGTGACATTTTTTTCTTCTGTCTTTTTTTCATTTGTTACCCTTTTTAAAAAATTTATTTGAGAGGCAATATAGTAATAATTGGTATGTAATGACAAGCAGTATGTATTTAGAAGACCAGAATGACAGGCATGCCAAGTGTGACCCTTCTATTACACATTACTATCTTCAGTGCAGTTGCTTGCTTCACAGGTATCAGCATATATAGTTAGTCAGAGTAAGAATACTACCAATTAACTGCTAGTTTTGAAAACCTGCTGATGTTTCTCAGGATCATTGCCTTACCCATCTTGTGAGTATAAATGTGTGGCTTTGCCCTGTCATGTATCCCAGCTTTTCTCCTTGACCTCTCCTCATTGTCCAATCTTCAAGTTCACGCTTTCCTTTTAATTGTGTTGTACCTTTCTATTTGTATTTCTTCTTTTGAGTTCTGATACTAGGGAGACTATACGATATTTACACATGTGGGTCTGGTTTATTTCACTTATGGGCATACCTTCAAGTGCCATCCACTTGAATATAAATGCTTCAAGTTTATCATTCTTTATAGTTGATTAATACTCCATTGTATAAAAATACCACATCTTTTTCATCCATTCCTCAGATGACAAGCATCTAGGTTGTTTCCAAGATTTGGCTATCACAAATTGTGCTGCTATAAACATAGGTATACGTATATCACTATGGCATGACATTTTCAGTTCCTCCAGGAAAATTCCCAGTAATGGGATAGCTGACTTGAATGGGATTTCCAGTCCTAGATTTTTAAGGAGTCTCCACACTGATTTCCATAATGGTTGCACCAGTCTACATTCCCACCAGCAGTGGAGAAGGGTTCCTTTTTCCCCAGAGCCTCTCCAACATTTGTTATTGGTTGATTTCTTTATGATAGCCATTCTTTCTGGGGTGAGATGATATACCAGTGTTGTTTTAGTTTGCATTTTATGCATGACTAGTAATGTAGAACATTTTTTCATATATTTATTCGCTTCTTTAATTTCGTCCTCTGAGAACTGTGTGTTCATCTCAGATGCCCATTTTTGGACTGGGTCTCTAAATTTTCGGGCACTAATCTTTTTTAGTTCTTTATAAATTCTAGAGAGCAGACCTTTGTCTGAGTGCTTATTAGTTAAAATTTTTTCAATTTGTGGGTTGTTTTTTCACTTTGTTGGTAATTTCTTTTGACGTGCAAAAACTTCCAAATAAGAGGTGGTCCCAGTTGTTAATTCTTTCAAGTGTGACCCATGCGATTTGAATTTTGTTCACGAACCCTTTTCCTACCCCTATGTCTTCAAGAGTTCCTCCTACTTTCTCTTCCAGGAGATTTAGTGCTTCTATTTTAATGTTTAGATTAATCCATTTTGACTTCAGCTTAGTGCATGGTGATAGACCTGGGTCAGTTTAAGTTTTTGGCATGTAGAGAGCCAGTTTTTCCAGCAACATTTGTTAAAGAGTCTATCTTTCTTCCAGTAACATGTTTGGCTCCTTTTTTGAAGATCAAGTGGCTGAATGTGTTTGTCGAGGGCTCTGCATCTTCTAGTCTATTTCACTGATCCTCAGGTCTATTTCATTGCTAGTATCATGCTGATTGTATCACAGTAGTTTTGTAGTATCATTTCAAATCAGGAATTGTAATGCCTCCTGCCTTGTCTTTGTTGCCCAGGATTGCTTTTGTTATTCTAGGTCTTTTCTCATTCCAAATAAATTTTAGAAACAATTTTTCTAGGTCTGGGAGGTTTGTTGGTGGTAATTTGATAGGGATTGCATTAAATCTGTAGAACAGTTTTGGGTGTATGACCATCTTCATGATGTTGGTTTTTTCCCATCCAGGACCAGGGAATATCTTTCCATTTTCTGAAATCCTCTACGATCTCTTTTTTCACAATAGTAATATTTCTTGAAAAGATCTTTGACTTCTTTAGTTAGATAAATTCCAAGGTATTTCATTTTCCTTGGTACTATTGTAAAATGTATTGTTTCTCTAATTTCTCTCTCAGTGTGTTTGTTATCTGTGTAGAGAAATGCTATTGACTTTTGGGTATTGACTTT